CAAGGAGCTGCTGGACTCAGACTTGGTTCTGCTACGTCAAACCAACGCGGCTGCTCACCGGGGACCTCTTGCAGTGCTTCATCTCAGCGGAAGGTCATAGAGGGCCTGGAACACGCCCCGGTTGTGCCTGTCACTGATAGACCTCATGAAGGCCGGGCCCGGGGCGGAGGGCGGTCTTCTGTTTTATTTTGCTACAACAGACGGCTCCTCCCTAAAGAAGGACTACGAAGTGTTAAGACTGTACTTTTAAACATTTTTAAGTATTTTATTATTGTGATGTTTTAAATACTATATTTGTTAATCGTCTTTTAAATTTGGAGTATATGAACCTCTTTTATTCTCTGCCGGTCAAGGGCCGTTTTAATCAAGATTGATGGGTACCCCCCCCCCCCACTGGAGTCTTCATTTGATCCTGCCTGAATGGGAGACAGAGCAAGGCGCCTGCCTTCAGTGGAGCACAGTGGATGGGTTGGGAAGGGGTGAATGAAGTAACTGCATCATTTTCCTGTGCTGCAGCCTGAGGTGTGCTTGGTATAGGGTGTTTCCCCCCTTGGAAACAGTAACAAAATGAGCCATGAACAGAAAGTGAGGGAGTCAGAGGGAGGCCTGTAACTTGTCTTCCACTGGAGCATTTTAAAGGCCCATTTAAACGGATTACTGTAGGTGAAGGTGGCTACATAGTATTAGAGGAACAGCGCGTTACAACTTTACTATGGAGGGCCTACTTTACAAGGCTGTTGTAGTCTATCCTCTCAGCTTTGGCCCGCACACAAGCACAATCTCCAATAGGTGACTGGCATCATCACTGAGCTACACTGTAGTGCACAGATCCCCAAAATGGTGCCTGTCGGGTACCTGGGTGCCTGCCAACCAACACCTTTTCTGGAACCACCAGGTGTGTTTAGAAAGTGGGTGGGGCCAGTTAGGGCTTTTGCCTAGCAACTCTTCTGATTGGCCACTGGAGATTGGATTGCCTTTACAGGTTTTTTAAAATGTTGCTTCACAAGGATCTTCATTGTGTGACTCAGGGCTTTCTGTCTGTCTGTCTGTCTGTCTGGAACTCTCAAGAGGGAAATTAAGTTTTCTATTTGTATACTGAAAACTCCCGAACATTTAAACATTTTTAAAAGCATTTTGCCAAAGAGGTTCTGAGCTCCGTTCTGGTGCATTCCCCCAGAAAAAAAAGCCCTGGAAAGTGAGCTGCAACAGCCATTTTGTCATATGCTCTGCCATTTTGTAGTAGCCATTTGTGGCTGCGCCCACCATGCTGTGTCAGAATTGCAAAGGCAGCCAGCTGCACGCTCAAAAAGTTGGGGACTGACTCCTGCTTTTTAGGGTATTATAAACACCATACCTTTCAGCCATTTTGTGGGGAGGGGCCAGGGAGTCATGGGGCTGCCTACAATCATGTCTACAATCAAATTGTGGGTTTCTCCATTATGGCAATGCCTACAGTTCACCTCCCTGCTCACATCACAGCATTACTACTTTATCTCGCTATCCTCCTACACCTGTCCTTTCCCTTCTTATCAGTCCCCCCATTCCAGTGGAGGGCTTTTTGTTGGCTTTTCAAAAACTCAGCAAGTTGCTTTATCACTGTAGCCTCTATCCAGGCTTCCCAAGTACTTACCGTGATTCCGCGGGGGACACAGATGTCTTCGCAGGATCATTCACCCGGGGACAACAGACGCGCCGCACCATGCCGTCGAGTTTTCAGCCCCATTGCCAGAGCGTCGCCCAGCATCACTTCCTGGCGATGGCATGGTGCGTTACAGGGAGGAATGGTCTGGCTGGGGAGCACGTTTCCCCCGCCGGATCGTGGTAAGTACTTGTGAACCCTACTACTATTATTAAAAAAAAAAAGCTAGCAAAAAACCCTTCAGGTTTGATGGGATAGCAAAGGGGCAAAAGCATGGAGAATACCTCCATGTGCATGCTCAGCTCCTGCTGCTCATGCATCTCTCTGTTTACCCCCGTGGGCATACGGGGGGAGAAGAGAGGGGCATAAGAAAACAGGCCAGGGAAGGGATTAAAAGAACCTCCCACAATATCATGACCCTAACTCAAATTCCCTGCACAGCCATGCCTAGACCTGTGTAGGCCAAGCTAGCCCAATCTCATCAGATCTTGGAAGCTAAGTAGGGTCTACCCTGGCGAGCAAATGGATGGCAGACCTCCAAGGAACAGCAGGGTCACAATGCGGAGGCAGGCAAGGGCAGACCACCTCGGGATCTCTCTTGCCTTGAAAACCTGACAGGGTCGCCATACGTCAGCTGTGGCTTCACAGCATTTCCCACCACCCACACAGTCATAGCTCTAAAGAATGATGGGATATCCTACTCACATATTTAGATTGGGCCTAGAATCATGAGCTAGTATTATCTGAGGTGAGAGAAATGTATTCTGCACATGCCCAGTGGCACTTTGAATGTTCCCGGCAGCCCAGATCAGTTCTTGGGCTAAAACGAAGCCTGTGGACAGTTCAGAAGAAGCTGGTGAATTTCTGCAGCTTGACGACACAGAAGTTCAAGGGCAAATCTACACCCAGGTTTATACCCATTTAACTATCCTGGCATTTCCAAGGAACCCAGGAAATAGTATTGCACCTTAGAGACCAGACCAACATGATTTTGGAGCTGTACAAGCTTCAAGAGTCAACGCTCCCTTCGTCAGAAATAGTAGCCTGTGTGATGTTGGGGTTAAGAGTGTTAGACTAGGAGCTGGAAAACTCCAGTTCCAAACGCCGCTCTGCCATGGGTGCTTGCTGGGCGACATTGAGCCAGTATTGCACACTCAGCCTAACCTACCTCACTGGGTTGCTGTGAGGACAAAATGGAGGAGAGGAGAAAAGAACTATGAAGCTGCCTCCCCCCCCTGGGGGGGGACACACACAGATGGAGCATAAATTAAGTAAATAAATGAAGTTTAAATGGGAGGACAGGGTTTGTAAGCCACTCTGAGTGAAGGGCGGGGTATAAATCTTCTTCCTCCTCCACCTTGTCTTTGTAGCTCTAATCCCCAGAAGTGGATTTGCCCTTTAATTTCTCGGGAGAGATGTTGTTGGGCTTCTGCCCAGGACCAAGCCCAACCGAGCCTCATGGGCTACTGGCCAGCAGGGCTGTGAAGGGCGGGGTATAAATCTTCTTCTTCCTCCTCCTCCACCTTGTCTTTGTAGCTATAACCCCCAGAAGTGGATTTGGCCTTTAATTTCTCAGGAGAGATGTTGTTGGGCTTCTGGCCAGGACCAAGCCCAACCGAGCCACATGGGCTGCTGGCCGTGAACCCAGCCAGCAGGGCCGTCACTTCCGCCTGTGCAGGAGGAGCCAGTGAGCCAGTCGTCACCACTACTGGATGGGTCTGAGCCAAGGGGTCCCTGCAGCCCTACCGGTCCACCTGGCATACCTTGCTCCTTGGCTGTTTGCGTCTCCCGCTCCCTTCCTGGTAAATCTTCTCTGTCTTTTTCAGGGGCGGTCCTGAGGGTGTCCGTGCCCTCCTCGCCAATCCGTGCCTTGCCGTTCTCCACTCCACGGCTGCCTTGTAACTTCTCAGACCCTTCGAGGTCCATAAACCTGGGTAATCTGGCTGTCACATGGAAAAGAGGCACAGAGACCATTGCTCAGTATTTAGGCGGATTCAAGCCGTCGAGGCCAGGGGCAGAGATGTCAGAGGAGCGGCTGAGAGTGGGTGATGCTTCCCTGCTGCTCCCACAGTTACAGGATGCGGACGCTGGGCTTTATACATGTCTCGTTATTTTCACGCCTGATAAAGACGAGGGGAGCTTTGAGCTGAAGTTGGAAGGTAAGTGGAGGGAAATAGGTGAGGTCCAGTGTTCTCTACGGAGCACTTTCTCCCATAGGAGGCGCACCTCCCCAGACAGATGTTTGGGAGAGGTTCTGCCCCACCGGCTTCCACTGTCCAGAGAATTAATTCCAAGGAGGTAATGGTGGCCTGACTTCCCCGTGGCAGCTGTACAGGTACAGAAGGCTGACTGCTGCCCTAGGTTCCTCTGAAGTCGTGCAGGATTAAAAACAAGCATGATAACCAGGGGTCATTTCCTGCTATGCAAATAAGTTATGCTAATGAGTTACGCTAATGAGCTCCTGCACTTCTTTTTCTACCAAACGACCCCTGATGATAACTAAGGGCCCTCCTTTCTCCAGAGTAGCCCACCTCGTCCAGTGTTAGGGAATATGGTAAATACATATCAAGTCGGACCCAGGATCAGTCAGTTTTCCTATTCTAAATGGCAGCAGCTGCCCAGAGTCTCTGGCAAAGAAGGAGGCCTCCCAACGTCTGGACCCTCAAGGCTAATTCATGTGTTATGGAGGCCTCGTGTTCCCCTGCATGGCTGGTCACAGAAGGTGTGGCCCAGGAGTTGGAACTTATTTCCCAGCTGTGCTCAGGCCTGATTCAGGTTTAGACCATCGAGGGAGGGGGGCTTCAGCCTTCCATCCTGTGCCGTTTTTGCAACCTAAAACTGTCCCAGGGAGCCACCATTTGCCTTGCTGGAGAAGCTGATGTGTAGCTTATTGGTATATGCAGGGCTTTGGGGGTGGGGTGGGCAGAACTCTCAAGAGGGATATTTATTTATTCATTTATTTTGCCTGATTTCTACCCCGCCCTCCCAGCCGAGGCTGGCTCAGGGCAACTTACATAAGACAGCACATAAATTACAGCAAAAACACTTAAAACACTTAAAACGATACTACAACCAACTGATGACATAATAAGTGCTAGTATTGTTGTCCTTGGCTGATGTTGCTTCAGTGATGGCTGCCGTACTCAATTCTCTCTCCAGATGATCGGCCCTCGGGTCTCCTTCAGATGTCATTAAAGCGATTGGCACCAGTCGTTAGAATTCCAGGGACACATGGCTCTCTATCCTACTGCTGTTAACTATTGACAGTATTTACGGTGGTGGCGGCTCCAAAGGCCTGGTGGAAGAGCTCCATTTTACAGGCCCTGTGGAACTGTAAGAGGTCCCGCAGGGCCCTGATTTCTACTGG